AACAGGTTATGGGTTTTTTAATACTAGAAAAGGAGCTCAAGTGATGTGATGGTTAAGTCCTTGGCTGCTAACCAAAAGACAGGTGGTTCAAACCCACCAGCTTGTGGGAAAAAGACCTGGTGATCTGCTCCCATAAAGATTACAGCCTAGGAAACCCTATGGGGCAGTTCTACTCTGTCATATAGGGTCACTATGAGTCAGATTATTATTAGTATTAGTCAAGGATTTCATTTTACTCGGATCCACAATCAACGCCCATGGAAGCAACAGTCAAGAAATCAAATAACATATTGCATTGGGAAAATCTGTTGCAAAAGCCCTCTTTAAAGTGTTGAAAAGTAAAGATGTCACTCTGAGGACTAAGGTGTGCCTAACCCAAGCCATGGTGTTTTCAATCACCTCATATGCATGTGAAACCTGGACAATGAATAAGGAAGCCCGAAGAAGAATTGATACCTTTGATTTATGGTGTTGGTGAAGAATATTGAATACACCATGGACTGCCAGAAGAATGAACAAATCCGTCTTGGAAGAAGTACAGCCAGGATGCTCCTTAGAAGCAAGGATGGTAAGACTTCACGTCACATACTTCAGACATGTTATCAGGAGGGACCAGTCCCTGGAGAAGGACATTATGCTCGGTAAAGTGGAGGGTCAGCAAAAAACTGGAGGACCGTCAATGAGATGTATTGACACCGTGGCTGCAACAATGGCCTCAAGCACAACGATGGTGAGGATGGTGCAGAACCGGGTAGTGTTTTGTTCTGTTGTACATGGGGTCGCTATGGGTTGGAACCAACTGGACAGCACCTAACGACAGCAACCACGTGAGCTGGAATCGACTTGACAGCAAACAACAACATACAGGTAGTCCCCAACTATGACAGGGTTCCATTCTGAGGACTCTGTTGTAAGTTTGTTCTGACTTAAGTCAAATACCTCATTTCAGATAACAACTCAAGGTGGTTATGGTACGAGATGCTGACTAATCATGCGATAGGCCTGATCTACGATGAAGTCGGCATCTGCGTGGTCACAATGAAGTCGGAGTTGTAACGGCTGCCGGGTGCACGTACAGTTCAATTGTGGTGTATCGTTAGAGTTGAATATCGCCAGTTTCTATCTGTGACGATTCTCAGCGCTGACGCCGACTTCGCTGTAGACCAGGCCACAGCCTCCTCTACAGCAGTGTGTTGAACAGTAAAACATAAAATTGAACATCTGCGAGTGAACGTCTGAGAATGATAACCTCAGCAAATTTTGCACTGCAGCATTGTATGTACTATATTACTAACGACAAGATGTACAAAAAAAGACGGTCCTAAGTGCAGTTTGTCGGTTTGTCGTAACTCAAACACTTCGTAAGTCAAGGACTACCTGCACTAGAAAAGGGAGGACTGGGTGCAGACAGTTAATGCACTAGGCTCCTAACGTACATTAGAGGTTCATGTCCACCCAGAGGCACCTCAGAAGAAAGGCCTGGCAATCTACTTCCCCCCAAAAATCAGCCATTGAAACACAGCTCTACTCTGACACAGATGGGTTCACCATGAGTCAGAATCGACTCGGTAGAAACTTTTTTTTTTTTTTTAATATACTGTAGGAGGCTATAGGTACAATGTTCATTGCCATATTACTCACAATAGCCAAAAGGTAGAAACAACTCAAATGTCCATCAACAGATGAAGGAATAAACAGAACATGGTATTTATATACAATGGAATTTTATTCAGCCATGAAAAGGGAAAAAGTTCTAATACACACTATGGCATGGATGGACCTTGAAAACATTATGCTGAGTGAAATAAGCCAAACAGAAAAGAACAAATATTGTCACGATCCCCACTCGTATGAAATATCTAGAATAGACAATTCATAGAGATACGAAGTATATTAGCGGTTATGGTGGGTTGGAAGCAAAGGAGAAAGAGGATTAATGCTTAATGGGTACAGAGTTTCTGTTTGGGGTGAGGAAATTTTGGGAACAAATATTGATGGCGATTGCACAGCACTGTGAAAATAATTAATGCCAATAAGTGTACACTTAAACATGACGAAAATGGCAAATTTTATGTTATATATATTTTACCACAATAAAACAGGCTACAGAAGTCTTTATGGCCAAGTATTATGTAGTATATCAAATGTGATCATTTTATAATGCACTGTATGTTTCATCATTAAAAGGATTTCACTCAAAAAAGAAAAATGTGTATACTCTAAAGACAGAGCAAGGTACTTCCCGATTTTTGAAAGTAAAGCACCTTTTTCCTACGTGTATCTCTAGGTCCCTAGTTTATCTTGCATGAACTTCCCAGATGAGAAAGACTAAGGAATAATAGAGACTTGATCTGGCTGAAGAAAATAGAAAAAGGACCAAGAACTGAGATGAGGAGACAGCAGGATGCTGGAAAAAAGAAAGAAATAGAAAAAGATAAATTACTGAGAAAAAAAAAAGCAGACAACAGATAGACAGATAGAGTGAGCTGAGTTCTCCAAGATGAATGTGAGTAGAATGGTAGAGGACAGACAGTTCTGCTCTGCACAGACGCAGGACTACATGGTTCTCTCCAGTGACTGAGCTGTTGCTACGCAGCTTGAGGTGGGGAGGAAAGGCAAGGGGAGAGACTGAGGCATCAGGATGACTAGGCAGTCAGAACCTAGAGAATGACAATCAAAATGACTTCTGAAGCCACAACTGCCCTGTCATTAACAAGATGTTGTGAAAACAAGCAAATTGTCTGTCAGACGCTGACATGGCTGCAAAGAAATGCTATTTAAATGCAAACTGTTATTATTGAAGCGATGGTGGTGACAATGATGGTGCTTACTTCTATCTGGAATCTCCCTAGATACAACTGCCTGCCCCAGCGAGACCCGAGCTCTTCCTAATCTCATTAACTCTTACCTATGTTTTAATTAACTACTATTTTAAATAACCCTGGAAGACATTTTAGAGCTCGAAGATGAAATGGAAAACAAAATCAAACAAAAGTAATTTTCATCTGACCATAGGAAAATATCAGACACTTCTGGTATGCTCATTTTGCTTGCTGAAAATACCGTTTATTTGGACACGTCACATCTATGACTAGGACGGACCTTAGAAGCAGAGGCAGTGTTCCAAAACGGTAGGATTTGAGAAGCTTTCTTTGCCCCCAAAGTATCTCCCTTGTCCGTTAATGGTCTAGTCCTATGGGTTTCTCGGCTTCTGGATCTCCATTTTGAGATTACAAATGCTTCTGGATTTTATCAAGAAATTTAGCTGTCTTCACATCCTAACAATAGATGCGGTTTTATTGCCTGATGTGTCATACCTCTCTGAGAAGGGATCCCTGGCCACGTGGAATTATTGGTCATCTGAAGAACTGGGGTGGCACCAAACAGAGGAAAATGCATTTTAATGTTTAAGCCTGAATACAAGGGAACAGCAGGCACCAAAGACAATATTCATGTATTTCAAGATTTTATTTAAATCAACTAACCCTGAGTTACAGAGCCCTTGTGGCACAAGTGGTTAAGGGTTTGGCTGCTAGCCAAAAAGTTGGCAGTTCGAATCCACTAGCTGCTCCTTCGAAACCCTCTGGGGCCGTTCTACTCTGTCCTATAGGGTTACTATGAGTCAGAATCAACTCGACAGCAATGGATTTGATTTTGGAACCCTGAGTTTTCTAAAGACCTAGCGATAGAATATGCAAAACTGCAGATTCAAAGCGCACTAAAAATAAAATATTTTCTGACCTTCTAACGGGGGCATTGGTGGTTCGGTGGTAGAATTCTCCTCTTCCCTGCAGGAGACCCAGGTCTGATTCCCAGCCAGTGCACCTCAGGTGCAGCCACCTCCCAGGTGTTAGTGGATGCTTGCG